CCAATTAAGATGCATCTCTAATTTTTATCATAACATATAATTTTGTTGCAAAACATTTCTAAGATGATCTTAAAACTTATGTTCATGTCTAATTAGAAAATTTTAAATTTCAAAAATGGTTAAAATCAACTAGATCTATAAACATATAAAAATCATGAAAATGGACGGTCTAGATAATGTGCTGTAAGATGCACTATTTTTGGGACTCAAAAACCTTTTTTTGTATCATACATCTCAATATCTAGATGATCAATTAGAGGGTTTTTTACCATTAAAACAACCTTGTAGATTTTTGAGGTGCATATGTGATTCTACATTTTAAGGTTGCAACCTTATATAAACTTTTTCCTTTAAGTATTTAATGAATTTATGTAGTATATTTGTCGCCATAACATTTATATTTAAGGGTGCAGTTGGCATACAGATGCCTCCGTAGGTGTAGAGGTCAAGTGCGCTTCAAATTTTATCATGGTATATAATTTTGATGCGAAATATTATTAGGATTATCTCAAAATCTATTTTTATATCTAATTATAAAATTTTAAATTTCAAAAAAGGTTAAAATCAAGTAGATCTATAAACATATGAAAATCTCGAAAATGGACGGTGTAGATTATATGTTGTAAAATGCACTATTTCTAATACTTAAAATCTTTTTATTTTTATAGTCATGCATCTTGAAGTCGAGATGATCAATCAAAGGGTTTTCAACATTAAAACTACCTTTTTCGATAGATTTTTTTGGAGCATTTGTAGTTCTGCATTATAAGGTAGCATCCTTATATAAACGTTTTCCTATATTTAATGAAAAAATTTATATAGCATATTTGTTTTTGGTATTAATAAGTAGGTGTGATGTTTCAAAGTATTTAATGGGTAGATTTATATGGCACTTCTTTTTTGGTATATACTAGTTAATTATGTATTTAATATTAGATGATTGGATGAGATTCACAAGGCATCTAAATTAATTAACTTAATTATATTAATCTAATAAATTTTTTATGGATGAATTAGTTATTGATAGCTTTAACATAATTTGTATTTTTTAAAATTTTAAAATTTCTAATATTATAAATTTATCCGATTTTGTGATTCTGATTTTTTTAGCCTAATCCGATATATTAGTGATATCTTTATATGAAGTATTTTTTCTGATCTGTATTTTTTACCCGATTTTTTCATCCACCTTTTTAAAATAAAAACGATTTGTGTCCAATTTTATGGTGAGCTTATTTATTGATAGTCCCTGACTTGCTAACTATGGTTGCCACTCTTACAAAAATCGTGTTAATTTATTCTCGCAAAAATCCTACTATGAAAAGTGAGGTACAAATAGAAAATTAGCCAAGAGAGAAAGTAGGCCATGACAAAGAAGGGTATAAATGTGAAATCTATCAAAATACCTATTAGCAGTGATTTAAAAATTGGTGACTCGATCCAGAATCAGGCAATTCGGTTCGGGAATAGCCATAACCAACCCAGATCAGGTAAAAAACCGATATTCGATCGATTCAAAATAGTAGAGTCACCGAATTTTTCGCGAAACCAACGATTTCGACGATTTTTCACTGAGTCCAACAGATTCTTCACAGATTCCGATCGATTCTTTACCGAGTCAAGCGAGAAAATGAGGGTGAACATTTTTTTTTTTGAATTATTTTTTTTAAAAAGTGGGACAAAAATTACATATTCTGCCGATTTTTCTAATCTGATCCACCGATTCTCGCAATCCGACATGGGTATAGGTGTGATCGATTCAAGTCACCAATCTGCTTTTTTTACAACTGGCCTATTAGAGTTGAACTATTTAATATTTTACCCAATGGCAGCTATTCTAACACATTATGTTTATTTTAACAAGTGTTTTGAATCATCTTCATTTTAGTTCTTTTCCAATTAATTGGAGTTGACTACATGAATCCAAATGATCTATTATTCTCTATTAAAGGTAATATTCTCAGTGTGGCTATAAATCCACATATCTTTTCAGACTACTTCCAACCATGTCCTTTCGGCCCTACCCATTGCCCTTTTCGGTCCTTCCACTTGAACTATATTATACTTCTTAACCGATGATGTACTTGGTCGGTGCCACATATGGCTAAGTCTATCCTCTTTTATTTTATCACCTATTGATGCCACGCCTAAATTCTATCGGATAGATTCATTTTGAATTCTATCCCTTATTTTTTTGCCACTCATCCACCCCAACAGCTTCATCTCTGTTACACTCATAATATGAGTATATTATTTTTTGTCCATCCAACATTCTGCTCCATAAAAGTAAAATTGGTCTCACCGTTGTCTCAAAGAACTTGTCATTCAGCTTTATTGGTATGCGGTGATCACATAAGATTCAAGTTGCACATCTCCACTTCGCCCACACAGCTCTAATTCTGTATACAATATCTTTCTCGATCTCTCTATTTTCCTAGATTATTGACCCAAGAAATAAAAAATGCGATCTTTTTTGTACTTCATGGATATCAATCTTGACTACTTCCTTGTCACCACTCCTATTATTACTAAACTTACACTCTATATATTATGTTTAAGTCTGACTAATTTTAAAACCTTTGGATTCTAGAGCATTCCTCCAAAGTTATAACTTTGTGTTGATGCCGTTTTGGGTTTCATAAATCCAAGTTATGTCATCTTGTCTAAGAAGGGTGATGACCTTAAACTTTACTTTAACCAATCCCATGCCCGGGTAAAAGGGCATGGTTGCGTTAGATACGCAGCAAACGTAAAATTTTGCCAAAATTTATTATGAATCCTAACTGGTGTTTTGAAATTAAATAAAAAGTTATATGTAGAAAGTTAAATAATTCATCACTTACATATATTTGAATAAATTGCTTGTACAAAAATAAGAGAGAGAGTGAGAGCTTTAGGAGTAGAATTATCAAATTTCCTTATATAAACCCGGAGTGAGAGAGTTTGAAGGGTAGAAATCTTAATTTCCCTCCTATAAAGGTAGAATTATTTTCCCTTATGGGAGTTGGATATCAATGTATAATACGTTGGCCACAATCAGTTGAAACCTCTAATTGTTTGTGGTTTATTACTATTTAGTAATAGAGATTGTATATAATGTGATCATTTATTTATTTTTGTACATGGAGGTCACAATTACTTACAAGTATCTGATGTGAAATCTGATAGCTTAGGTGTGTCGTAAAGTTCAAGAAAATTTCTTTTGAACTTTGAGCTTGATCAATAAAATAAATGTAGTCACCTGATTTGACATCTAATGGTCAAGATTAATTGCGACAACCTTATGCAAAAAGTAAATGGTCTCATTATATATTTTTTATTAGTAATAACTTTTTAATCTACTTACATGTTTGATCAAAGATATTTAGATTTGCATTCTATAAATAAAAAAAATAAAATAATAGGTTAGATATTTTTAAGACATTGAATATTTAAGATTGTTATTTCACTTTGGATATCATTGAAGTCATATTTGCTAGAGGTGCAATGTGATGAAGTACGTCATCACATAGCAATCTCTCTCTCTCTTAAGAGTCCAAGTCAACCAGTGCTATCTCTATATATTTCATCTACTTTTCTATTTCAATCTCGTATCAAATCTCTATAATCTTATTTCACTACCTTCTCTAAGTCACAAGTTTCCTGTGTCTTTGATTCTCTTATCATTTAGTCTTGGTTACATTCATAGTTCTAAAACTCGCCCAAGTATAATGCGTAAAATTACAGCCATCTGTGTTAGGATGCCCTCTGCAGTAGCATGGACAAATAAGTCTAACAAAGATTGGGATTCAAATCCCCCGTTGCTATTACTCTTTGAAATCCATACATTTTTATTGGACTTGGGCGAGTTACTCGGATTCGCATGAATAACTCGCCTCAGTCAGAGCCCAAATACTTTGGCCGAGTCAATTTGTTCAACACTGGTTACATTGAACTTCCACACAATTGGAAAGCCCAAGTTCTTAAATTTCTTAACTATATTAAGAAGGTCATATGATGACCATAG